CCCCAAAACCCCAAAACCCCAAAACCCCAAAACCCCAAAACCCCAAAACCCCAACTTTTTGCAAAAAAATTGAAAATTTAATTTATATCAATTTAAGCACAAAATATAATTGAGGAAGAACTGAAAGAGACTAGGAACAAATTGTCAATTATCGCACAAAATTCTCTCCATGTAAGAAGGAAGTCAATAAGTTGAAAGAATCTAACACAGAATTCACTTAATGAGGAAATGCCTTTGCAATCAAATATCAGACAGATGGTTACTGGATTTTCAGATACTGGGTCTAGTTTCTAGCTATTTAACGAACTTTTAAACTAGGTATCAAAATTTTTAAGTGAGATTGACAAGATGCCTTCTTGAACCTATTATAACCAGAGTTGAACCTTGACAGAGTGGTGTATTTTTTCAAGAAGATTTTTGAGCCAGTACTTAATCAAATTAAAAATTATTTTGACTCTTTATACTCCACATTTGAAAATATTATGTGTCTTGACAGTGTCGAAGGACCAGTTCTGAAGGTCATCTAGAAATGCTATCAGAATAATTGGAAGAAAATATACTCAAATGTGTGATTATACTGTCCATATGAGTATCATGAAGTCAATCCAAAGTGAACTCAAACTTGTTGATGGAGTTGATGAGTTAGTTAATGAGGAGATCACTGAGTTAATTTCCAAACTCAGCTTGGCACCATTTAAAATGCACATCTGAGATCCATGACTAGTATTTGATTAGTCTATCCCGAGCATGTCTGTCTCCAATAGCCCAGCCAAGATGGACTCTATGGATAGGTTTATCAAAAATAGTCAGGAAAGTTTAGTAATCTTACCTTCTGTGCACGAGACAACTATTGAAAGAAAACCAGTGATTAAACCGAATATTCTTCTATCTTGACTACCAGCTCCCATAATCATCAAGGATAAGCCTTGGTCTAATTATTTTGTGCTAATGATATATTAAAGGACTTGTAAAAAATCGTTTCCTTTCGATTAGCAGAGCTCTCAAATAATTCAGTCGGTTGATTATACTGATACCTGCAATGAGAAATTTCATCAGTATAGCACGGCTTTTTTCTGAGAAAAAATCAAAAAAGTAACAACAAAATTTTATATAGGAGAGTATCCCAGAATACATATTCTGTACCATATAAATGAGGTATTAATTTATCTAACCTGGGTTAGCAATAAGGGAATTCAGAGAAAATAGATTATTATTATGAATTTGTCCTTGGCTATGTGTGGATCAAAGACTGTTATGATATTTAATGAGCCATATCCATGGATTACTGTAAAAATTGGAAATATATTAGTTCTGTTGATAAAGACTAGCATTCCAATTTCATTAAGTGTTATTCAAATACTTTACTCCACTTTACTTTCTTTTCTCGCGTCTATAAAAATCGATCTTAAGTAATTAGAAAGGTTCTTTAAGAAACTCTAAAACCTATAATCATATCTAAACTAAAAATATATTAATCCAGATATTTCCATAAGATTCTTTAAAAATGGGGTTTTGGGGTTTTGGGGTTTTGGGG